TTTTATCTCTTTCTCTCTCTTCTTTCCCTCTCGTGAATTTCTTTCTATCTTTCTCTCTTTGCCTCCTCTTTTCTCTTTTCTCCCTATAATATATAAAATTGGTTCTCTCTGTTTTTTCTCCTTTATTTCTCTCCCTTCTTTGCAACTTCTCTCTCTCTCTTAACTCTCTGTATTTTTCTCTCCTCTTATCCTTTTTCTTTCTCTTCTTTTTTTTCTCTCTTTCTCTCTCTCTCTCTCTCTTATATTCTATATTTATAAATACTGATTATTGTCCTCTTAATTATATAAATTTTCAGTTACGTTTTCTTTTTGTTCATATTTTTCATTTCTTTTTCATGTTTTATTTCCTATTTTTTTGAAACTATTCTTTGAATCTTTTTAATTTAAAAACAAGTTAAGAAATCTTTTATCAAAGAATGTCTCTCTTCTTCATCCTTCCTCCTCTTCTAAAGCATTCTTTTCTAAATTTCATTATCTTTTGAAAATGTTTTTTTATTCAATTTTCTATTTATAAGCAAATTTAAATTTTCTTTTGTTATGTAAATATATAAAATTTAAATATAGATAATAATAAATATTAATCTGAAATACTAATCAATATAAATATGATTTTTTTATATTAAATATATATAAATATATATATATATATATATATATATATATATACTATAATCAACTCTCCCGTAATTATTCGACGTATATTTGGTCAATTAGATCAGTTTCAAGGAAATTGACATGACACCGGCACATTTATTTGATTATTGAAGGTTTCGTGCCGGACCATTAAATTTTTGAAGGGACGAATACAGAGACCTGGTCATTATCCCACAAGGTTCCCAAACGACCCTGCGCAGTTTTGAAATCAGAGTTGTCCTTCTCCTAGACCAGTTTCCATCCAATATTACAGAACCCAGTCTGTCCTGCTATTTTACCCATAGCTGGTGGGAAAAAATGTATTCATACCTTTCCCAAGGGTATTAGCATGTAAGTGAATATAATGAATTCGACTGAATTCGAACTCTCTCTGTGATTCCTCAATCCAAGCTGCTATCCACCGTGCCTCCTATATTTTATTGTTTAAAAAAATATATATATATATATATATATATATATATATATATATATATATATATATATATATATATATATATATATATATATATATATATATATATATATATCAATAATTTTAGCTTAAAATTAAAATTAAAAATTATAATGTTTTATTTTAAAAGTATTTATTTATTTATATTTTTAAAATAAAAAAAATAAAAAAAAAAAAATACAGACAAATTAAGACATATACGTGGCTTTTCATTATGCTATATATATATATATATATATATATATATATATATATATATATATATATATATATATTTTCTAGAATGATTTACACACAGTAATGAAATGTTCATTTACCAAAATATGCAATTCAAAACCTTTTTTATGTTTTTACAGAAACAGATTATATCAATTAAATATAAACAGTAAATCAAAAACATCCCTGCGTACAATAATAAGAAAATGAATCTGGTAAGGACGATCGCCGCTCACGCCTTGAAAGGACATGACACATAGAAAGAGATTTCCTTGTAGAGTAACATTTTTTTTTCCTTTTATAAAAGAAGAAAAAAGACATCATATTTCTGGGGCATCGATACAATTAGTTTCATTACTGCTTGCAGTCGTATTGCGTCTAACATGTTGTTGCATTTATTAAAGTTTCTGCGCGTTTGTGGACTTATTCTGTTTGATATTTGTTTCGTCGCTTTGCTCTAGGTTTCCCAATTGATTGAGATTTTGCTATCAAACCTGTAACTCTCGCATTTCTATTGCCTTTCATGTTCACTCTGACTGGCCATGTAATTTCGAGTCTGAAATAATCCATGTTCGATCCATATTTATTTGGGGCATATGGCATCACGACCATATCACTGTTTCTAGATAAGATTTAATATTTGCTTTTGCTTTAATTAAATCCAACAGATTGACATGATTTCCAAATCCCACACCATGACACTCATTCATTTAACACTGATCATTACACAATACAAGGTTCAAGAACACCTTCAATGTGGTAAGAGGCGTAAGAGGAGGCAAAACGAAGTGAAGATTCTGAAGATCAGAAGATATATAGCGATTATAGTATTCAGGGAAGCAACCACGCGGGAGTTTATGCAACTAAGTAGCTCTTCCCGTGACAAAAGCTGTCTGGCTGGAACTTCTTTCTTACAAATGGAATACGTAGTGAATAAGTGGAGGTGTAGTAAGACAATCTTTTTCTAGCTTTTGTTTTCTGAACTGGATTAGAACTAAAAAGGAGTCTAATCCTGAATCTGAATGAAAATAGTGATTTGTAGCGATTTTCTTGCAATTGTTTAAACAGACTGTCAAGGTGGAAAATACTTTATCAAAACCAGACGGCGTAAACGATTTTTCAATATTTATAATTTTTTACAAAGCGAGAATTAATAAGTTGAAAAGAGACGCAGAGATGACAACAATGCTCCATTTTTGGGTTTCATACAACACCCCATTTTGGTCACGTGTCAAGAAGGAAAGCATCAATCTGATTTTTCACTAATTTTGGTATTTCAGAGTCTGTCTATATTTCTGAGATGAGTTATTTTTTAAATTAATTTAAAAAAAAAAAATATTGTCATCATCTTTGTCGCCAAATTTATTAGAACGTTTCGACCGTTTACGCTCCGGCCTTCTTCAGGTGGTTGGAAGGACACATAGCACAGTGGATAAAGGCGTTGGTTAGATTCAGGACAAAAGTGAGGAATTTTAAAGAGTGTGAGTTCAATACCCGGTTAAGGCAATGAAGAAATTTCAGAGGAAATTAACAGGAGATTCATGATTTTGACATCCATCAAACATGGCATGTAACTAGAACAGTCTACTACAGTGAGCAAAATAAAGGGTTCAGTTCGACATTGAAACCACTCGAAAAGTCCCTAAACAATGGCCGAAACGTTGTGATAAATATGGCAACAAAGATGAGGATAATAGTCCGAATAATGTAAATAATGTACAGATGGTATTTGTTGATGACTATTGGTCTTCTGCTCGTATAAGTAAAGAAAATATTAAATTTTCATTTGCTACGCCATAGCAATTAAAAGCGTTTTTTCAAGATTCTGCCCTTATGGGCTTTAACGAATTGACCTTACCTATACTTGAAAGAATTAATTCATTTCTGTGAATCAAAAATCACTTGATTTGAAATTTATTTTTGTGGCGATCACATCTGGTTTCAGTCATTTTAATTTGCTTCATTTCCCATACGAACAGAAGTCATTTTTCACTTGCGGTTCAGATTTAAACGCTTATCCCTATCTCTTCGAATGACACATTTTCTTGGTTGTCTAGGTCTGGATATACTTAACTTGCCACCATTTATCGTTTTATAGACACTCATAATTAAAATAAAAAAAAAATGAGAGTGGAAATTTCTGGTCGACATCATGAGAAAAGAAGGGTTTGAGAATTTGATAGTCAGGAGACATACTAAAAAGAAAAAAGGGGAGTCACTTATGTAACGATTTCAGATGGCCAAACAGAGTGTAGGGGGAATGCCAAAATACAAATATTGCTAAAAGCTAAAACTGATAGGAAGCTTTGGATTTTATGAGCGTTTTACCTGAAGTGATACTTTTCATAAAAAGATCTAAAAAAGAACAACATTTTTTGAATAGTTCAACTTTTTCAAAGTTATGGGTCCAACTTGAGTTATCAGACTTAACGATTTTTCACGAACATTTACTGTGAAGGGGTATAAGTAGTCTTCAATGATATTGTAGTGTACGAAAATAAAAAGGACATTAGAACAAATTTATATATATATATATATATATATATATATATATATATATATATATATATATATAGTAGCGGCCATAATATAAGGAACGGAAACAACAAAGACATAAATATGTGTATTACTTAAAAAGTAATGCATGATTAGCAATGAAATTTTTACCAAATAAAGATTAGGGTGTAATACATAAATATTATACAAAGTTACAAAAATTTACATAATAGTTTTTTTTTTAAATAAAGATTAAATGGAACAAAGGAAATAAGCTACTGGACAAAAGTTAATGAACGATCTTGTTAATACTTGATTGCGAACAAAATATCAACAAAATTTAATATTTGGTAAACATCCCCTTATTTTCAATGACTTCTCTGCATCGTCGACCACATGATCTAATTAATTTCTTGCAAAAATCAGCAGTAATTCCCTCCCATTCGTCTTTTAATTACTCCCAGGGGTGATCCTGGTTTTTCGGGTTTCTGTTCTGAGCCCTTTCTCCAATTATCTTCCAAACATTTTCTATTGGATTCAGATCGGGGCTCTGGGCTGGCCACTTCATTAGGGTGATTCTTTCTTCTTCAAATAAAGCCATAACCTTCCGAGCCTTGTGGCAAGGTGCATTGTCCTGTATGAAAATAGGAGATTCATAAAGATTATTGTGTAATCTTGGTACCACATGCTGCTGAAGAAGCCTTTTGTAAATCTCAGCATTGATATTGCCATATACGCGGATGATAGGGCCAACTCCTGCAGATGAAATCATTTCGCACACCATCACACTGCCGCCACCAAACTTAACGGTTTTCTTGACACATTAAGAAGACAGTCTTTCACCTGTTCTACGGCGTACGTAAGTTTTGCTCTCAAAACCAAATATAGTAAACTTGGTCTCGTCACTGAAATGAACTGTATCCTATTGTGTGTCAGTCCAAACAACATACTCCAGGCGTGCCCTTTGGTTTCGCTTTGAAATGAGAGGCTTCGAGGTTGTTCGCAGGTTAAAAAATGCATTCCTGCATTTTTTAACCTGCGAACAACCGATTTCCTTGAGACTTATTATCTGTCTCTTCATTAAATTTTCAAACCATTTGATTAGGTTAAACTCTTTCTTACACCAACAGCGGTCATTATTTATGTCCGCATATGAGTGACACTATGTCGGCTGCAGTTGGGCTTACAGCCATATCACGTTGAAACAACGGTTCTCGAACGATCACTGAAGTTAAGCAACGTCGAGCCTGGTCAGTATATTGATGGGTGACCACGTGGAAATACTAAGTGCTGTAAGCTTTGATGTGGGTGGTGTAATGGATAAAGGCTGGGATTTGGAAATCGGAGAGCTGAGTTCCAATTCCCGTTGTGTTCATTATATTCACTTACGATCACATACCCTTAGGAAAGGTTTGAATACAGTTCTCACTCCTCCAGTTATTGGTTAATTAGTAAGACTTTTATGAGTAAATAATCATTATCTAAAAAAAATTTTAAACATATTTTCTGGCTTTAAATAACGTATAAAGGTTTGATAAGCCGTACAAAACAAATCAGTCAATCAGAACGAGTTAATTTTCTGAACTAGAGCTTCATAGTTCAAGGATTACTCCAACTACAAAAGACCAGATCTTTCCTTATTGAGATGGACAATATTGAACACAAACACTGACGTCTTAATTAATCAGGAAAATATGAGACATATTGAACAGGGTAACATTCATCTTTTCATTAATGATTCAGTTCCGACGTTCACGTGTCCATTAAAGACGTTTTTAGTGATGATGACACATTAGCATCGGTAAAATGACTGGCTTACATCTAAGCAGATGAATACGAAACAAGGATCTCTGTATTATGCGTTTTGACGCATTTCTTCATTCAGCTTCATTAAAGTAATCTTCAATTTAATGTCACAGCAGCATTTTTGTTGAATGTACTCAACACATCAAAGTGATCTACTCGAATATTGCTTACCTGGTTCTATATATCTCATTATGTTACGAAACAGAAATTCCGTCATATATCTCTTGTAGTAATGTTGTAACTCATCATTATATATATATATATATATATATATATATATATATATATATAGTGTCCATAAGTTTCTGTGCACTTTAAAGTAATAATTTTTTACGTGCACACGGACTTTATGGATATATATATATATATATATATATATATATATATATATATATATATATATATAGTATTTTATTTTTTACCTATAGTCAGTTGGTGTGTGAAAAAAAACCAGATAATACAATTTGTAAATAAAAATATTAGACAAACTGATATCAGGAAAATAATCCAATAAAAAAAGAAAAGACTAAAAAGATCCGTGCCTCTTAAAAATAATCAACCAGCACTGCAATATCTAAGCAAAAGAAATAAAAAAAAACACGGATTGAGTAAGCTAAGTTGAAAAGTAAAAGTGCTCAATACACTAAGCAGAGCAACAACTAGATAACCTAAAGAGCCAGAACCTATCTACCTAAGTTTCACCTAACGGATCATCAGGATAACTCTGGTTAAAAGGGGTTTGCCCAAACGACCTTTTATTGAAAAAACGACCACCAGAAAGAGTCAAAGAATTAGCATAAAGACAAAAGCAAACCAAAAGAGGGTTTGCCCAAACGATATTTTATTTGTAAAGCAGCCACCCGGAAAAAAAAAACTTCCATTATTCATGTAATCAGGCTTTTTTTATCTGATATACTTAATGTTTGTAGGCTTAAAAAGCTTGGTTATTTGAATAATGAATTTTTGGGGAGAGGTTCTGGCTCTTTATGTTATTTAGATTTCTCTCTCTCTCTCTCTTTCTCTCTCTCTTTCTCTATCTCAGAGCTGTCTCTCTGTCTCTGTCCTCTGTCTCTGTCTCTCTCTATATATGTGTGTGTATGGTATATAGTTTTTAAGCTATGCTATATTTATAGGATAAAAGTGCACAATATCCGGGATGTAAAGGTTGTAAATTTAATCAGTGTGGACAACAGAGAATGGCAACCATCTGTTTGATGTTTGAGCGCAATCCTTGGGCTATGTCGTTTGCTAGCTTGTCGATTTATATATGTAAATCTCTGGTATAGTATAGAATATTAAATAGATAAAAAATGAACATAATACGTCCTTAAATAACTCAAAAACATATCAAACTACTTTACCGTAATCAAATGCATTTTAACTATAAGCAAGGGGGGAAAATTCTAAAAAAGATTAATAAACACAAATATATCCCCGACTGATCCAAGTAAAAAAATAAAATTAATTATATACTATATTAAATTTAATAAAACTAACTAAGTCATCCATAACAACTCTTCTCCGCCAACTATCATCTTACAAAAGACCAACATCGTATATCAATTTAATTGCCCTTTGGGAGATTGCATCACGGATAAAAATTTTAGTGCTTATGTTGGTTTTTCAACAACGACGATGACGAGAAGACTTACGATTTACTTGAACGATCATAGTTCAAGTTCAGAATATTTAAAGGAATACTCATGTCCACATTCGCGTTTTAGACATATTAGTCGAAAATTCATGAGTGCTTCATCACGATAGCGATATGCAAAATATTAAAATTATGGAAGTCCTTTATATAAGAGAATTGTGGCCAAAAATAAATAAATTCAACGACGAGCATAGCAACAAAGTTCTTAAATATGTGTTGCAATAAAGTGTTATATAAAAATACTTAATTAAAATACTGCAATTAAAAAATCTTTTATAAAAATTATTTGCATAAAGGTGAAAATATTTAAAACTCACTTGCACAGATATGAAAAGTATTTTGAATTTACGGTGTTGAAGATGGTCTCAGATGCGATTGAATTTACTTGGGAAAATTAATTCTTGAACTTGAAAGGATTAAAAATAAATAAATATATATAATAATTCTAAATTATTTAACCAAATATGCTTAAATGAAAATATACTGCCTAAACAAATATATATATATATATATATATATATATATATATATATATGTGTGTGTGTGTGTGTCTGTGTGTGTGTGTGTAATAATCCGTTGGTACATAATTCAAGTAAATTCTAATAATATAAAATATTAAAACTGATCCTCAAAGAGAATTCAATGTATTTATTCTAACAGAGCATATAAATTACATACAATAGAAATTTAAATTTGTCATATCGATCAAGGTAATAAGATAAAATAAAATGAAAGCAGACCTAAAACAAATTTTAAAACATGTCAGAGGAAAAGAAATGAAGAAAAACAGAAGAAAGTAAAAAGTAAAAGAAATAGTGAAAAGACAAAATGGAAAGCATTTCTACAGTGTGAGCACCACAGAAAGAAAGTGTCACTTTTATAGTGGATAACTGTATATTCTACTTTTCCTCCTCCTTGTATTCCGTGCAAAATTGATTTCTATCTACCATTTTAAATCTCGTGCAAACGAGATCTTAGGCTAACTTTTGATTCTAGTGTAAACGGGAACTATGTCCATCTTTTAGACTTTCGTGGAACCAGATCATTTTCAATCTTTTTAGCTCTTGTTTAAACAAAATTATGTCTACATTTTCGACTCTAGTATAAACCAAACCTATGCTTACCTTTTTGAATCTATTTTGAAACAGATCTTTGTCTACTTTTTCGACACTAGTGTAAATCGGATCTTTGTTTATTCAGTTGATTTGACTGTCAAAGGCCTCCCACATAATGGAAAGATATTTGTGCTGTCTGCCTCTTGCTGATATCTTACAATTATGTGGGATTCTGTATTTACCCAAAGCTCCCTACTGAGATGGAATGTGACACAAGGTCGGGTTTAATGTAGGGAGTCCGAGCGCGTACACTTGGGCCAGGGACAAAAATTGCCTCACCCCCTTCAACTGCCGATTGCGCTGTCATTGACCGATCCCCCCATCACTAATGAAATGGGGGTGCAGCCTCGGGTAGTTGTACTCCTAGACGTGGCATCTCACAGTTTTTATTATTCCCAGCTGCCACTCTGTCCGCAGACAGTTGTGTCGTGAGGTAGAGTGCGACTCAAATGAGAGATGATAATCCTCCCATTATGTGGGAGGTATTTCTGCCATGCCCTTATGTTTAACTTTTCAAACCAGATTTTATCTACCTTTTTTTATTTTATTTTAGTGTAAACCGGATCTACGTCCACCTTTTGTTTACTCTAGTGTAAATCGTATCGATGAATACCTTTGTGACTCCTGTACAAACGTACAGCATGTCTACCTATCTATCAATTCTTTGTTATTCTTTGATCCAACGTCATATATTTGATATTAACAAATCAACGGTTAAAATTTGCATAAATTAAACAATATAACCATCTTCTTTTATGTGCCATATTCCTATTGGACGTAAGAGATCCACATCTTCCTGTACCTTGTAGCTCTTACTAAGTTTTGTATTTTTGTTATTTCTTCAAAATCCTGTTCTGCCATCCATTTGCTCAAGCCCATTAAGTATGTCACGCTTTGCTTTCCCCTGTCCATCTTTGCTCTCTCCCTCTGTCCTGTGAGTATCAAATTTTCCGAACCCTCCTTCCTCATTACGTGTTCCAGAATTTTGAACGGCCTGATTTTAAGTATACGTTTCCTTTTTGCTTCTACTCTCTCCAAAATTTCGTCGTTTTCTTCGGCCTATGGTATCCTCAGCAATATTCTGTAGAACCACATTTCTGTTGCTTTAAGTCTCTTCTTCATCTTTGACGAGGTTGTCCATCATTCTCTGGCATACTGGAGGACAGATATCACGTAACAGTTCAGAACTCTTTGTTTCCAAAGAAATGTTTCTGTCTCTTAGCTTTTGGAATGAATCTTTGGTCATCCCAAAACGTCTTCGGATTTCAGTGTCGCACTTTCCATATTAACCAATATTGTGTTTGTATGCAAGTCATACTTGAGATGCCTGTTTTATGGCTGAATTTGTCATTAATTTTCTGCCGGCGGCAATTGTCGGCGCTCGATCGCAAATGTAAACGAAAATATTAAATACAGATTTTTAAGGAAGGCGGGGCCTATTCATTTGGAAGAATAACGCTGCCTGCGCTCCGTCTCTACATTAGGCTCTATGCCAAACGAAACTTTACTTGGTATATACCTATCTACTTATCTTTCTATCTCATTATATGTAGAAACACATACACACACTTGCATACAAACACAGTTTCCGTTTGCAGGGCACGTATTTTTAGAGTAGATATAAATATATATATATAATATAGATTCTTGTTCAAAGAAAATGAACGCTTATGCGTATAACCGGGAGATTGGAGTAAAATATATTGTCACGGCATTTTAGATGCAAGAAAAACTGCGTATCCCTCCATGGGGGAATCCCATAATCAATATCTTCGTGATGTTAGCGCACGCTTTCAACTTTCATTTCAAACACTTTTTAACCCTAACCCTCACACTCCGCTTCCTTCTTTTCCCGCCTCGCCTTCTTCAAGAGCGCACTTTGCGTCCTGTTTTCTTCTTCCTCTCTGACTTACCATTCCTACGATTTTGGTATCACTTTCATGTTTTGTTTACCAAGAAATCATTTTCTGTTTGCTTGAGATATTTTTCCATTCTTTACAGACTTCATTTCCTTCTTCTTTTGACCGTTCCAGATTTCTTTCTTTTAACTTCTTCCCACAGTATTTTCTTTCTTTCTTTCTTTCTTTCTTTCTTTTCTTTTTTCCAATATTTGTTTTTTTCTAGTCATATTTGTTTGTGTGTTTCTTTCTTTCTTTCTTTCTTTCTTTCTTTCTTTCTTTCTAATATTTGTTTATTTGTTTGCTTCTTTCTTTCTTTTACACTTTCTTTATTTCACGTTTTTTCTTGTATTTCTTATCACAAAAATATAAACATAGTTCTAATTTTCCATTTTTATTGCAATGCTTTTTCAATTGCTCTAACTTTATTACTACTACTATTACCACCACCACCACCATTACTACTACTACTGCTAGTAATAATACTTCGAATTAGGTAAGTATTTCCCATTGCTCCCTACTGATAGCAATTTATGATTCTTTTTTCTCAAACGTCTTCTTCTTCTTCTTCTTCTTCTTCTTCTTCTTTACCTCATTCAATTTGCTGTTGTTTCACATAATTTACTACTAGTAGTACTCATAGAAGTAGTTGTAATTTCTTCCTTAATTCTCTTTCGTTATGTCATTAATATTTAATAATAATATATTAATTTTATTATCATATAATATATATTAATATTAATATTATTAAGATTTTGTTGGTATATCCTAAATCATAGACTTCTTCTTCTTCATCTTCTTTTTCATCTGCTTATCATCATCATCACCACAATCATCATATTCATCACCACCACCACCACCACCATTATCATCATGATCATGATCAATATTATTATTAGCATTATTCTATGTATATAGCTTTCATTCGGTTTACGTTTCGTCTTTCCATTCGCCATTTAAGATGTTCGTGATTTCTCTCTCTTTATACTTATTGTTATCGCTGTCATTGTTCTCCACCCCGGCTCCACCTCCTTTTCCTTCTTATTCATCATCATAATCGTGACCATGAGCATCATAATCCTTATAATCTTCTCTTTTTTATTTCCTATTTTCCTTTCTTTCTTTTTTTTTCTTTTCATCTTTTGACTTATTTTTAAATTTCGTATTTTCTAAAATCACCTTTTTCTACGCTTTCTTTCGCCTTCTTCCTCTTCCCTTTCTTCTTTATCCGGCATTTTTTTACCCTGGCTTCTCTTTCTTTCTCTCCTTTCATTCGGTTTTTTTTTCTTCGTTTTCTTTGCACCAGATTAGGCAAAAGACAAACAGGTTCAAACGAGTACAAATCAATGCAATATAAACGGAAGTGCACTTTCGAATGTGCATTTTCGCGCATGCGCCTGTATGTACATATGTGTTCATACAGAAAATCAAAACATCCACTCTCATATTCCCGCTACCAAGCAATCTTTCCGCCCGTTCTCCCCACCGCCCGTCCCGTTGCCTATTAGTCTGTTTGTCTATCGGCGTGTCTGCTAGCAGATCAAATTTAAAAAAAAAAATGAAACAAACACAATTTAGGCAGAAAATCCGTAATACAAAAATCAAACTTGATGGAGACATCGGTCGCAATTGATGTATCACTATTTCTGGAGGTCTGGGTCATAATATCGAATTTCAATCCACACACTTGGTTTCATTTTATGTAATAAAATATGATTGAGAAAGCTAAATTAGAATAGAGTAAGATAATTTCCAGAAGCTAAACAAAGTAAGAATATATAGAAGTTTTCGTTAGGAACAAGAAAATAGTTCTGAAAGGTTATGTGATGTCTGTCCTTCAACATATAAGTGAATTCTGGATAAGTTACTTAATAATGAATAAGAGATATGTGTACTACAGTAGGAGGCTGAGAATATAATAGACGTAACATGCAAACAACAATGAAGTTCTAAAGAAGATGGCAACGGGACGGATATTAATACTTATAGTCAGAGAAGGAAGTTCTGGGATAGGTAATGAGGAAAGAAGTCGTAGAAAATTGGAAAAACACATAAGGATATTGAAAGTAAATGAAAATGAGAGAAATAGATTTTTAATATAACTATTGAATTGTGTAAATGGACGCCGGAGTGTGGACAAAGATGGATGATTTGACACACTCTTTGGATATTGAAAGCAAGTGAGACAGAAAGAAAGAATTTTTAATACAACAAATGAATTCTGTAAATGGATATCGGAGCGTGGATTGGGATGGATGATTTCACACACATCGGACATTGAGATGAATTGAGACAGAGAGAAAGAGGATTTTAATATAACTAAAGAATTGTTTACTTGGATAGCAAAGCTTAGATTGGGATGGAAGAATTCAGGATGGATTTGGATGAATGATTTGACAGAAACCGGATATTGAAAGCAATTGGAGACAGAGTGAAACAGTTTTTTAATATGACTACTGCACTGTGGAAATGGATGACAGAGCGTGAATTGGGATGGACAATTTGACACACACCGGATAGTGAAAGCAATTGGAGACAGAGAGAAACAGTTTTGTAATATGACTACACCATTGTGGAAATGGATGACAGAGCGTGAATTGGGATGGATAATTTGACTCACACCGGATATTGAAAGCAATTGGAGACAGAGTGAAACAGTTTTTTACTATGGCTACTGCACTGTGGAAATGGATGACAGAGCGTGAATTGGGATGGATAATTTGACACACACAGGATATTGAAAGCAATTGGAGACAGAGTGAAACAGTTTTGTAATATGACTATTGCATTGTGGAAATGGATGACAGAGCGTGAATTGGGATGGATAATGTGACACACACCGGATATTGGAAGCAATTGGTGACAGAGTGAAAAAGGTTTGTAATATGACGACTTCACTGTGGAAATATATGAGAGAGCGTGAATTGGGATGGATAATTTGACTTCACCGGATTTGAAAACAATTGGTGACAGAGTGAAACAGTTTTTAATATGATTACTGCACTGTGGAAATGGATGACAGAGCGTGAATTGGGATGGACAAGTTGACTCACACCGGTTATTGAAAGCAATTGGAGAGAGAGTGAAAGAGTTTTTTAATATGACTACTACACTGTGGAAATGGATGACAGAGCGTGAATTGGGATAGACAATTTGACTCACACCGGATATTGAAAGCAATTGGAGACAGAGTGAAACAGTTTTGTAATATGACTACTGCACTGTGGAAATGGATGACAGAGCGTGAATTGGGATGGATAATTTGACACACAACGTATATTGAAAGCTTTTAGAGACGGAGAGAAACAGTTTTTTATATGACTACTGCACTGTGGAATTGGATGACAGAGCTTGAATTGGGATGGATAACTTGACAGACACCGGAATTTGAAAACAATAGTGGACAGAGTGAAACAGTTTTGTAATATGACTACTGCACTCGGGAAATGGATGACAGAGCGTGAATTGGGATGGACAATTTGACGCACACCGGATATTGAAAGCAATTGGAGAGAGAGTGAAACAGTTTTGTAATATGACTACTGCACTCGGGAAATGGATGACAGAGCGTAAATTGGGATAGACAATTTGACTCAGACCGGATATTGAAAGCAATTGGAGAAAGAGTGAAACAGTTTTTAATATGACTACGGCATGGTGGAAATGGATGAGAGAGCGTGAATTGGGATGGAAAATTTGACTCACACCGGATATTTAAAACTTTTGGAGACAGAGTGAATCGGTTTTTTAATATGACTATTGCACTGTGGAAATGGATGACAGAGCAAGAATTGGGATGGACAATTTGACTCACACCGGATATTGAAAGACATTGGAGACAGAGTGAAACAGTTTTTTAATATGACTACTGCACTGTGGAAATGGTTGACATAGCGTGAATTGGGATGGGCAATTTGACTCACACCGGATATTGAAAACTTTGGGAGACAGAGTGAATAAGGTTTTTAATATGACTACTGCACTGTGGAAATGGATGACAGAGCATGAATTGGGATGGACAATTTGACTCACACTGGATATTGAAAGAAATTGGAGACAGAGTGAAACAGTTTTGTAATATGTCTACTGCACTGTGGAAATGGATGACAGAGCGTGAATTGGGATGGACAGTTCGACTCACACCGGATACTGAAAGCAATTGGAGACAGAGTGAAAGAGTTTTCTAATATGACTACTGCACAGTGGAAATAGATGACAGAGCGTGAATTGGGATAGACAATTTGACTCACATCGGATATTGAAAGCAATTGGAGACAGAGTGAAACAGTTTTTTAATATGACTACTGCACTCTGGAAATGGATGACAGAGCGTGAATTGAGATGGATAATTTGACATACACCGGATAATAAAAACAATTGGAGACAGAGTGAAACAGTTTTGTAATATGACTACTACACTCGGGAAATGGATGACAGAGCGTGAATTGGGATAGACAATTTGACTCACACTGTATATTGAAAGCAATTGGAGACAGAGTGAAACAGTTTTTTTAATATGAATACAGCACTGTGGAAATGGATGACAGAGCGTGAATTGGGATGGATAACATGACACACACCGGATGTTGAAAGCAATTGGAGACAGAGTGAAACAGTTTTGTAATATGACTACTGCACTCGGGAAATGGATGACAGAGCGTGAATTGGGATGGATAATTTAACTCAGACCGGTTATTGAAAGACATTGGAGACAGAGTGAAACAGTTTTTAATATGACTACTGCATTGTGGAAATGGCTGACAGAGCGTGAATTGGGATGGAAAATTTGACTCACACCAGATATTGAAAACTTTTGGAGACAGAGTGAATCAGTTTCTTTAATATGACTACTGCACTGTGGAAATGGATGACAGAGCGTGAATTGGGATGGACAGTTTGACTCACATCGGATATTGAAAGCAATTGGAGGCAGAGGAAACAGTTTCGTAATATGACTACTGCAATGTGGAAATGGATGACAGAGCGTGAATTGGGATGGATGGATTACACCGGATATTGAAAGCAACTGGAGACAGAGTGAAAGAGTTTTTAATATGGTTACTGCATTGTGGAAATGGATGAGAGAGCGTGACTTGGGGGGGGATAACTTGACAGACACCGGATATTGAAAGCAATGGGAGACAGAGTGAAACAGTTTTGTAATATAACTAGTGCACTCTGGAAATGGATAACAGAGCGTGAATTGGGATGGATAACTTGACATACACCGGAATTTGAAAGCAATAGGAGACAGAGTGAAACAGTTTTTTAATATGACTAATGCACTGTGGAAATGGATGACATAGCGTGAATTGGGATGAATAATTTGACACACATCGGATGTTGAAAGCAATTGGAAACAGAGTGAAACAGTTTTGTAATATGACTACTGCGCTCTGAAATGGATGACAGAGCGTGAATTGGGATAGATAATTTGACACACAACGTATATTGAAAGCTTTTTAGAGACGGAGGAAACAGTTTTTTATATAACTACTGCAGTGTGGAAATGGAGCGTGAATTGGGATGGATAACCTGACACACACCGGATGTTGGAAGCAATTGGTGACAGAGTGAAAAAGGTTTGTAATATGACGACTTCACTGTGGAAATATATGAGAGAGCGTGAATTGGGATGGATAATTTGACTTCACACCGGATATTGAAAGCAATTGGAGACAGAGTGAAACAGTTTTGTAATATCACTACTGCACTGTGGAAATGGATGACAGAGCGTGAATTGGGATGGACAATTTGACACACACTGGATACTGAAAGCAATTGGAGACAGAGTGAAACAGTTTTGTAATATGACTACTGCACTCAGGAAATGGATGACAGAGCGTGAATTGGGATGGATAACTTGACACACACCGGAATTTGAAAATAATAGGAGACAGAGTGAAACAGTTTTTTAATATGACTACTGCACTGTGGAAATGGATGACAGAGCGTGAATTGGGATGGACAATTTGACTCACACCGGTTATTGAAAGCAATTGGAGAGAGAGTGAAACAGTTTTTTAATATGACTACTGAACTGTGGAAATGTATGACAGAGCGTGAATTGGGATAGACATTTTGACTCACACCGGATATTGAAAATAATTGGAGACAGAGTGAGACAGTTTTTTAATATAACTACT